CAGGCCGCCAAACCAGTACCGGTTCGGCCGAACCAGTAGGAACCCACCACTGCTGGAAATCGTAAAAGGGGAGCCTAAGAAGGGATGAGAGAGAAAGAAGAATACTTCAAGCAAGAAAAATGATTAACGGAAAAAAGTAAATCTGGTAGTCTAATTCACTAGACACATGAGTAACAATGAAAGAAAGGGGAAAAATACAGGGATTAGTTTGCTGTGTCCAAATAATGTGGCCTGTTTTTTCCCTGCCATCTATTACCCTTCCATTTGGTGAGGGCACTTTAAGTTGTCTAGTCAGTAATCCCGCACTCACTATTTACAATTTGCAGTCCACCTGGCACAGCATAGGAGTAGTGTATGGTTGAAGGGCTGAAAAAGAAATATTACAGAACCACCCAAGATCTTGAATGAGTATAAAGAAGCCGAAAACCTTTCTCATGTGGGCTGGGAGAAATACATTTTCCCACTATCACTACACCTCAGCAATTGAAACATTACGCCAGCTGGCCCTTACCTTTCAGGCCAATAGCTTTAGCGTAATACTAATAAGATAGATTGATTTAAGTTTATCAGTGTACAGCAACAGCCCAACTCGTTTAAGTCAGTAAACCTCAGCCGTAAACCCATCCCAGTCCCAGTTTCACCTTTTGTGTTGGGATAGGTTATGTTGGCTGTTTTCCCTCCTGCCCAGCCTCTCAGGCTTATCCCAACGAGAAAGATGGGTGGGTGTGCCGAAAATATGTTTACTGGATTTTCTTTGTGGAAAGTTTGACTCCACAGAGATGACGGGTGGGTGGTTTGAGGCTGATGAGCCACACAGATCCTTCCTTTCCTCAGTCTGGCACTTCTTCCTGCTGCTTTCTCTCCCTGGCAAAAAGTCTTATTTTGTATGTCTGCCACAACACACATAGGAAAGGAAGGCTGGGGAGAGAGGGTGTTTCATCCACTTTAACATCTAAAGTGACTCCCTGTTTATCCAGCTCCAAAGGGGAATAGAGCTATTTTTGCAACCCAGCAAAACCTCAGAAAGTCTCATTCTATTCCCAGAAGTCTCAATGCTCTGCCAGCGAACATTTCTATGTTAAATTGGAACTAACAATCTGGGATATGTTTGGCTATGTCACTCTGTTTTTGGAGAATCTTCTTTTTCCATTTTTTTTGGCGACGGGGGAAGAAGTTGGGACGTTTCAGAGACACGATAAGAATCATTTTATTTCTACTCCATTTAAGTAATTAGACTTCAGATAAACATATACTGTACCTGGAATGCAGTGGCTCAGTGGCTAAGACACCGAGCTTGTCGATCAGAAAGGTCGGCAGTTCAGCAGTTTGAATGCCTAGTGCCGCATAACAGAGTGAGCTCCCATTACTTGTCCCAGCTTCTGCCAACCTAGCAGTTCAAAAGCATGTAAAAATGCAAGTAGAAAAATAGGAACCACTTTGGTGGGAAGGTAAAAGTGTTCTGTGTAGCTTCGGCATTTAGTCATGCTGGCCACATGACCATGGAGATGTCTTGGAACAGTGCTGGCCCTTCAGCTTTGAAACGATGAGTACCGCCCCCTAGAGTCAGGAATGACTAGCACATATGTGCGAGGGGAACCTTTACCTTTACCTAGTGTTAAAAACTCATGTCCAAAAAATGTTTGCTCATTACAGACACAATCAAATAGTACAATATCTTTGCAGTGACATAGGTATGTACATTCATAACCATCTATCAATAACCCTAAGCTATTCAGCAGGAAAAGAGTGAGACAGACAAAATAAATGTATATAATCAACTATTGTGTGAAACTGATTAGTAGGCAGAAAA